AGAGAGAGAGAGAGAGAGAGAGAGAGAGAGAGAGAGGGAGGGAGAGAGAGAGAGGGAGAGAGAGAGAGAGAGAATTGGAGCACTTCTCATAAACTGATAAAGAAAATTAAAATCATTGAAATCTTGGTAAGAATGGTGGCATGAGGCCGCTGTCATGCCAACTCATCACATGGGGGCTCTTGTTGTCAAAAGGCCACGGTGTTCCCATCTCATTCAATAGATCCGGGGTTTGAAACCAGACAGCAACGGGAAATTTTTTTCCTCTGAAATGTTCACCTTTCACCTACTTTCCTGCTCTCTAACCATAACCATGTTCTGTCGTCTGCATTCGTCTCCACTTTCTGCCCCCTCCTCTGGGTTCCTTACTCTTCCTGCAGCCTTTCTACTGCCATTGCCACTCCTTCTTACAACTGTCACACCCCTGACCTTAAGGTTGGTAAGATCTAACATCTACCTTCTCGGATATATATATATATGCAGTTTCAACCGCCACGAAACACTTACAATGTACCAATACAAACAACTCATTATAAACTGCAACACAGATGTAGCTCTTTTATGTAGGTAAAGCACTCATCGTTTTCCATTGACTTTGGTAGTGCACATGACAAAGCATTTAACAAATATTATGTTTTGTTTATTTTAACAGAATATCAATGTCCTGTCAAATACCGAGGGTCAGTAGGTTTCTCCTTAACACTGCCTTAACAGTGAGTCCACATCAGCATCTCTTTTTTAAGATTTAGTAAGAAGGGTTTTACGGCACTTGCAACACAATAAGGTCATATAAGTGCCGAAGAATAGATGTGTTACTAGAGAGTAACATACACAAAAAAGAAGGAGAGATAAGGACGATAGATGTTTGATAGGAAAGAGGGAGCAAACCACACCAGAGCACCCGCCAATCACCCACTCAGCATCTCTTCCGCTTCAGGATGTCTGAAGATACAGACCACACCTCAGGACCAGACATCAGTCCGAACCCACTACATTGGAAACTCAAGTCATCGTTTTGATTTTAGTTTTAGTGGAGTTTTCATCATTAATGCCTTTCACCCATGGCAGGGTACAGGCCACATACAAAAACTCCTTCCATTTATCTCTGTCCTGGGCCATCCTTCCCAGCTCGTTTTAAGTGAGCTTCATCTCTCTCATTAGTCTCATTTCCCTTTATCTCCTCCAGGTTTCCCGTGGCGTACCCTTGCCTCGTGCTCCCTGTGGGTTCCACTGCAGCGACTGTATTGTAATGTTTCCGCCGTGCTTTCTGATGGTGTGTCCCACCCATCGCCACTTTCTTAGTCCTATTTCAACTTCTATATTCTGTCCTGTCCTAGTCCACAGCTCTTCATTTCTTATTCTATCCTGCTACTTAATTCTTAGGATACTCCCCATACATCTGTTGACTAAAGTCTGGACTTTATTCAGCACTGTCTTTGTTGTCTTCCAAGTTTCGCAGCCGTAGAGGAGCACAGACTTGACATTGGAATTAAAGGAGTCGAATCTTGGTGCGCAGCGAGGTGTTGCCTGCTTTCCAGACATTTGATAATTGGTTGAATGCTGACCTTGCCTTGGCGGTTCTTGCTTTTACATCTGCCTAAATTCTACTTTAACCATCGATGACACTTGGTAGGTAAAGGAGTCCACTTCTTCCAGGGGAGTGTCTTCCACTGTCACCGCAGGACTTGAAACTTTTCCTAGCTTCACTACTTTCGACTTACCCGGATGTATACGTAGGCCAACACTCCTTGATAGTGATAGGCTGTTGAGTTCCTTGGTCTTTTCTTGCATCTGAGCATGTGTGTGATAGATCAGTGCAAGGTCATCAGCGAAGTCGTCCAGCTGCTGCCAGGGGATCTATTGTATTCCATTGTGCCTGCTTCTGGAGGCTTCTTTCAAGACCAAGTCAATTGCCAGTAGGAAGAGAAAAGGTGAGAGCAAGCATCCTTGTCGCACTCCTGTCTGTACCGGGAATGGTTCTGAGAGTTGTCCTTCGTGGAAGACTTGGCACTTTGTTCCATCATAGGTGACCTTCACAAGCTTGACGGTTTGGTAAGGTATTCCATAATGCCGCATGAGTTTCCAGAGTTTCCCTGTCAACGCTGTCAAATGACTTTTCATAATCAATGAAGTTGACCACGAGTAGTGAATTCCATTCAAGCGATTGCTCAACAATGATGCGCAGAGTAGCGATCTGATCCACACATGATTAGTTCTCGCAGAATCTTGCCTTGTTTCCTCAGAGCTCATCTGTTGCCAGCTTGATTCTCTCCAGGAGTATACTGTTAAAGTTAAAGACTTTCCCGGGTATGGACAGGAGTGTTGAGCCTCTGTTGTAGTTGTTACAACTGCTGAGGTCTCCCTTCTTTGGCAGCTTGATTAGGTGGCCTTTCTTCCAGCCTGATGGTATTTCCTCCTCTTGCCAAATCTTTTCAAATACAGCATAGAGAATTTCCACTGATTTATCTTTATCTGCCGGAGGTATATGGTCGGGACCAGCTGCTTAGTGGGACTTTAGTGCGGCAGCAATTTCCTCTCTCGAAGGTGGTTCCATTTTAACTATTGGAAGGTCATTTCTGGCTGGAAGAATTTCTAGTTGGTTTTCTGGAGATAGTCTGTTCAAGAGTTGATCAAAGTGTTGTCAGTGGAGTTTTAGTTCTACATAAAAACAGGTCACAGAACCATTCAGTATGTGTCAAAATATGGTGAGATCAGGTGTTTGTCAATTTTTGAACAGAGGCCTCCAGAGTTCTTAACATCATCTTAAGGCTTGTTCATTTGTCTTGCATTTGGTGAAAAAAATACCCATCTATCTGAATAGAAGTCAAAATATGAGAGGTAAAATCTGTGAGAAGATGGCTTTCAAAATTAGCGACTTCCAAAGCTGGAGTGTAGTGATGGGCAGGTATCGATACCAGGTACTCGATACTTAGATACCTATTGGTATCGGTATCAGTACCGATACCTGCTCTAAACATCGATACCTTTGTGTTATTTATCCCAGGGCTGCCAAAGCAAGTGACATGGGCCTTGAGAATTTTTTGTTTATCTAAAATGATGAGTTTTCGTAGGGCGCAAGCGTTTTAAATTAATCTAGTGATTTTTTAACAAAAAGAGAGAAATTTTTCATGAAATGTTCCAAGTGATTTTGCAAAATCCTCACTGACAACCCTGACTTATCCTCATTGGTTTAATTTAAAGTTGCTAAAAATCTGGTAAATTGAATTGCCTTTTTAGAACTCTTGTGTTTTTATTTTCCAATACTAACATTTTCTGCAAAGTTGACTTTCCTCCCATACTTCACTTAATTTTTGTTTTTATTCTCATATTTGGGTATTTATTTCTCTCTCTCTCTTTTACAAATAATTTTTGTTTGAGTCTCAGCTAAATAGTCACAACTTGTCTAGACACAATTACCTAAATACTTGGAAAAGTAGAGTTGTATTTTTGTCTTTAATTATTACCCCCTGCGTATGTTACCAATAGCATTAGGTACCGAGGTATCGGTATCGATACCATGAAAAAGTACTAGGTATCGACATCGATACCTAAATTGTGGTATCGGCCCATCACTACTGGAGTGTCCTTGGAAATTTACATTTTTCATGCCTTTTATGAACGTTTTTTGGCAACATACACAGAGAAAGGCATTATTAAAAGGAAAAGAAGGTATTGTGAGCCAAAATACAAAGTTCTTCAAAAATTGCCCTGCGCCCTGAAAAATGCTGGTCTCTTTGATTTCATTGTTTTGACAGCACCTGATTTCACCAAACTGCCTCACATAAATATAAGAGCTGAATATTAAATATGTTACTACCAGAAAGTAACATATTCACAAAGAAATTTATGGAGGAGAGATTTAATAAGGAAAATTAATGTTTGAAAAAATGGTGGAAACCACACCAGAGCATTTGCCAATCAGCCACGCTCACAAGTCACATAACACGAGCTGTACCGACTCTTATAATTAGTCTTAATGAGTGTTGAAGAAGGTATGTGTATGTATATGTATGGATCCAAAAAAGGGTTGTTGACCACAAGTCATAATTCAAGCCTCCAGATTTAAGCCCGGGAACACAGATTCGGAAAAGAACAACGCTGGAAATTAAGTACACTGCCTACCAAACAGCAATCAGAATTATCTCCTAATTCAGTTGAAGGTGACTGGGACATCTAAAAAATATAAATTTATAAGCTCTTTGCTTCATTATCCTTGCACTTGCATGCACCTCTCTCACTTACTGCCTCTGCTCAACTTTTGTAACAAAGAGAGCTCACCTTCATGTGAACTTGTTTCATTTCATCATAATTCTACCTGATAAGCTCCCTGGGAGTCATAGCTTCACAATTCACAACTGCTTTAATGGATCTCTCAGAGAGGAACTAGTGTTGGCCAACCGTTCAGATGTAGCAAATGCAAGTTCTAAAAATTTGAATCTAAACTGCAGTTTATTATAGTTTGTGGTATCATTTGCAAGTCCTGAAGAAATGTTGCAAAAAGCAAAAAAAGATACATAATGTAGGCGTACAATTGTTAAAAGTACAAAACCGTTTTTCTCGCTCCTGAAAAGTTTTACTTTCTGGACTTACTACATCTGAACAGCTTGCAGATGAATTGTTTCTCTCTTGGACATCCAAGTCATAAAGGAGGACAATGGCCCCAAATGGACAGATCTGCTTCTCAGCACCTCCTTGAGATACATTTGGTTCATTCATGAAAAGGCTCCCGTAAATTTGTACAACACATAACACACTACAACAGAAAGTGCAAAATTAAACAAAATGACCAAACCTTGATGAGTCTTTAAAAAAATGTTTTTAATTGAAATAGAAGGTAAAAAAAAAATTGGGATGGGCAAACAGTAATCCTCACATTTTATTCCTTCGCTGATCAATATTTGATAAGTTCACATGTTCACATGGTACAGGAAATAAAAACAGCACACAAAAATGATGATTCATATACAAGGACTATGTGAAATCAGTGCTGCCTATTCACCACATTTGGACACCAACAGATGATTGATTGAAGAACCTGTGTCTGCCCTACCAGTCACCTGTACTCCCAAAAGCAAGAGACATCCCATATTACAATGACTTTCAACCTGCTTTTTACAATATCTGTACGCATGGAGAAAACCAATGATGAAAGTGTTGAGGATATATATACATACAATTAATGATTAAAATCATGAACCAACTTTTGACATAACAAATGACATGATCAATTGAGGCGACCCAACATCACTTTTCCATTTGATTAAGATCAATTGAGGCGACCCAACATCACTTTTCCATTTGATTATGATGAGTACAAAACCCTACCTTAATTCTAAAAGCCCATTCACACGATGCAATGACAATGCTTTTGACTGAGTAGTTAAAAAACTGAAAGAAGTCCGAGTACACAGCACCACAGACTACCTCCCAATGCCAGGACTGTTTTGGAGACTGTGATGGACATAAAAACTAACACAAATTATGTACAAAATGCTCCCAGAACAACAAAATCCACAAAGAAATCAGCGGTTTTATAATTTGCTACCTCTCCAAACAAATCCAGGTCTATGAAAAAAAAATAATGAAACTGGCAGTAATAACACTGGGATTTTTCCTTTGCACAATCCTGGGCCACAAACTAGAAGAGTTGGTCTCTTTTCAATATCAAACACATGTAGCATGCCTCTTAAAACATAAAAAACAAAACAAAAAACAAACAAACCAAAGTGAATGTAAACAAAGTGCAAGAGAGTGACACGTCTATTCACACCGGACTTGTTTTTAATTTCATATGGAACAATTTCTATTTATAATCAACAGATGTAGAAGTATAGTTTATTTCTCCCTTTCCCAGTCAAGTGGCCTTACAAAACTACATTAACAAAAACAAAAAATCTAAGCAAAGAAAAATATCAACAACAAAACCAAACCAATCATGTGTATAGAATTGGGCAGAGAGCATAAAGCTGTCCTTGTTTGCTTGCTGACCACGGCGCGTTGGGATTTACTTGTAGTAGCTTCCACTTCCCCAGCTGGAGTTGTTGTAGCTGTTCTGGGGGTAGCTGTTCCAGTTGCCACTGTACGAGCTGTTGCCCCAGCCCTGATTGTAACTGCTACCACTCTGGTTGTATCCACTGCCCCACTGCACACACATACAAAAAAAAAGACAGGATATTAGTATACGACATGTCAAGGAATTCACAGCTTGTGCTTCCTTCAGGCATTGCATACTCCCATGTCTCAAAGAGACGGATGGGATAGGCCAAGAACAGACTGATGGGATAGGCCAAGAACAGACTGATAGGATAGGCCACACGACTGCCCGTTTAGCAATCAACAAATTAGACAATTTACATGTGTACATAAAGTTGACAGAGACACGGCTGTTCAACTTCTTATTTATACGACAAAGTATTTCTATTTCGACTTCGAAACCGTTGTTTGTGCAAGACAAATGTGTTTTATACGCCGCATTGCCTATTGTCTCTTACACCAGCATTCAGGCACTTTGACACATTCAAGGCATGGTTTCAAACAGCATATAACAACGTTCATATTGTTTACATCTGTAAATGAAATAAACTTTTTAAAAGCCAGAATCTTTTTAACATTTCATCTTGGCAATGAATCTAACTTAAAATCGTACAAGGTGGTCCAAGTCAACAAAAGTACTTCCTGTACCTGGCAAACAAGTGAAAATCTATAACTCTGGAAACAAGTAACTCTTGCACACACAATTTATCTAGACTTACTGACAATGGCTACAAGAATTAAGATAAAATTTTCAGAGGTGATTTTTAAAAACACATTACACCCTAGTCGCCCCGGAATTTCCTTACGCGCTCCACCCTAATCGCCCGGAACAGCCTGCTCCGACCAGGCGTCTTCTGGGGCCCAGATTTCATTTTACAAAGTTATTGCAAATTGTTTCTTCTTCTTCCCAAAACGAAATTTTTCAGACCAGCAGTTTCAGTTTTAAAGCGGATCGAGCGATCGCGTTTCCGACACTTTCATAGCTGCCACTCCGAAATTTTTAAAAAGGAGGAACTTCACGCGAAAGCGTACGCGCGCTCTCCGAAACCAGTGAGATCCAGAGGCAATATATACTGGAAAATCTAGCCTACGGTTTTGGAAGGGAAAACTGTCATATTGTTAACCATAGGCAACTGAATTAAAATGTATTTGAAAACAAAAAAACAAAAAAAACAACAACATAAAGGCAGTAAGTTGACTAACAAGCATTCGAGTCAATTTGACACAGTTTGGACTTGGTGACTAAAAATCTAGTGTTTTTTGCCAGCTGGTGTCTCATAAAAAGATTTCTTTCACTTTAAACGTGTACATACATAGACATAGAACAGTATCGGATCAAGGATACACAGGCACTCCTGTACAATTGCGGTCCCGTTTGCACTTAGTGCCCCTGTAGTGTGTTTCTTATTTAGAGATAAACTGAATTAAAATTATAGCCTAGGCTATCTAATCTAGATCTAGATATATCTAAATATGTGTAGATCTAGATTATATCTAGAGATAGATTTTCTAGATCTAAATCCAGATCTAGATCTAGATTCACTTCCGCAGCAGCCACAATAGCCGTCATGTAAACAAACGGGACCGCAATTGTACAGGACTGTAACAGGAGTGCCGCGGGCCACGATTTCTTTCGCAAAAAACAGCTAGTTCAATTTTCTAATGAACTTTTCATGTCGCACACCGGCTGCTTCTTTCTCATTCCAGCTCCTTTTATTTTTGCATTCTGAATCAATTTCTCTCGAATTTCCGCCAATTTCAGTGACAACTCGGCGCGCTAACGTCCCGATGCCCGATCGACACTGTGTTGCTCCACAACAATAACCAATGTGAAACTAGCGCTGGGCCTAGAAGAACGGAAGTAGAAAGCTACGGGCGGACATGCGCAGACCGCGTTTTCGTCTCTCTCCCGGTTCGGTGTTTTCCGCGTGGAAAAAAAAGTATGAAATTTGCGACCAAGAGCGGTCCAGCGGAGGAAGGAGGAAAGTTGCGGGGAAATCTAGATGTAGCGGAGTTTCCGCTATTTAGCGGGAAAGTGGCAGCTATGCACTTTGAAGGTGTCTCGATTTGTTGAAAAGTGACACAATTGATTTTGAAATAGGAAATAACGATGGAATAGAGCAAGTAAAAGCAAATGAGAAATCAGATGAACAAAATATTGATAAAAACGTTGCAGCAAGAGTTTGGGGCGATTCAGATTAATAAGCTGTAGAATTTAGTTCTTGGGCCCAACCGCGAGGCTGAGAGTGAAAGTGATGGGTCGGACACCCCGATCGGGCTCAAGGTAGAACATTTCCAATAATATGTGCATATAAAGTTATATTTTTCTGAAACTATACTAATTTCTCTTTCTGATATTTTTGTTGTTGTTTGGAATTTGCTCAGCATTTTTAAAATGTTTGTATTCATGTTCCTTCCCCTTGCTTAAGATTTGGGACTAGACTTCTCGTCCCAACGCTTAGGGTGTAAAGTGTTAAACTTAAATTTTCTTTAAAAAATAGGAAAGCCAAAGACAGGGAGAAAGAAGACTGAAGGCACTGAATAGATTCTCAAATCCTATTTCCTCAACCTGTCAGAAGCTAAGCTAGCCTTTTCCTTGTGGAGAAGAGATATTTGACTTACCCCAGAGTTGCTGTACTGGTTGTTCCATCCGCTTTGATTCCAGTTACCCCCGCTGTTGCCCCATGAGCCACCTCCATAGCCTCCACCACCATAGCCGCCTCCACGTCCACCCTGCAGTCATGAAAATCTCATTAGTCAACAGGATTTAGTTACGTTACGTTCTAGTAAGAGATTTATGGCACTTGCAACACAAATAGATTATATGTGCCGAAGATATGGAGTAACAAAAACCAACTTGGCATGTATTTGGTTTGTATTTGAAAAAAACAAAAACGACCAAGACATTAAGTTGACTAACAAGCATTTGACCCAGTTTGTTGACTAAAAATTCAGTGTTTGTTCCCAGCCCCAGTGTCTCATAAAAATATTTCTTTCACTTAAGACTTGTGCAACAATGAAGAGCAGTATTAGATTAAAGAGGACCGTACTACGAGATTTCTTTATATCGCACCAAACGCAAAGAGCAGCACCCAGCCTGTTCAATTTTCTAATGAACTTTTGAAACCGCACACCATCTGATTCTTTCTCAATCCAGCTCCATTTATTTTTGCATTCTACACCAATTTCTCTTGAATTTCCACTGTTTTCAATGACAACTGAACTCGGCGCACCATCGCCCCGCCCCGATGCTCGATTGACACTGTCACTCCTCAATAAACAATGTAAAACTAGCTCCAGGAACAGAAAGGAAATAGTGAGCTTCAGGCGGAAATGTGCAAAGCGCGTTTTCATCTCGGTTGGTGTTTTCCGGGAGTAAAAAAAGTATCGCAATTTGCAACTGAGAGTGGTCCAGTGGAGGAAAGTAGTGGGAAAAGCTAGATGACGCAGAGTTAGCGGAAAAGTGGCAGCTATGAATGATATGCATATTTTAAAAATTCCCAAACACATTGTCTTTGTGGCTGGCTAAATCTTCGCACAGAAGAATTAGAGCCAAATGATAAGAGAGCGTACATGTAACTCTCATAGGCTACTTGGAACGACAATTTTTTTGGCCATTTTCCATCCATGGTATGCCACAAAGATAAAGGCAACGAAGGGGTTAATGCTCAAAGCTTCACACTGAATCGCAGTTTTCTATGTGCTCAGAGCTGCACACTGCATCATTTAAATGAAGCAAATACAGTTTTCCTTTGTGAAGAGTTATTTTTGATTTCTCAAATATCCACTACAATTTTGCCTAGCATCTAGAACTATGTATTCGCATTATGTTGCATCCACGAGGTCAATGAAATGACACAGTATGAGGCTCTTTTCACATGCAGATATAATTTAAAAGTATAACATGTATACCATTCCGATAAATGGATATGGTTTTTTCTTAATTTTCTGCTCAAATTCGCAGGGGTTAATCTTGTTTTGCAGCCACGGTCAGAATATGGAATTTGAAATATCACGATATTTTTAAAAAATTTAACCGGGCCTGAATTTGACATTTCATTTAGATTTTTCATGAACAAAAAATTCTTGGCTTTGTTAATGACAACATACTATCAATACAAATGTGAATATCTCACCAAAATAAACATTTTATGAAAATTCATGTCGCAACATTCTGGTGTATGATACACTTATTCTATGATAAATTTGATCAAAACATTTATTTTGTGCGACACTCTTGATCAGAATTTCCTCAACAGAAAAAAAAGAAGAAACCAACAAATTCTGATCGAAACCCTCAGCATTCAAAGAGTTAAAAAGCTGGAAAGTAAAAAAAAATGAATCTTAATTTCTTGTCCTACCAACAATAAACAAGTAGATGCAGAAGACATGGTAAGACAGAACAAACTTCATTTTTCTTACCTTGTATCGGCCACCATCCCATCTGTCATCACGACGACGCTCGTCTCTGTAACCTCCACGGTAGCCTCCACCACCTTAGAAGGAAAAAACAAAACAAAAATCAGTGCAATCATCTCCAACAATTGTGACTTGGTTAAAACAAAAACCTATATGGTGAGTAAACACAGGCCTGCTAAAAGAATTCTTAAACTTTTTCAGTTTGGTACGAGTTTTCTAGCGCTCTTAACTGCGTATGGTCATATGAACAAGTAGGATTCAAGTCAGTTGTGTTCATGTTAGTTCACAGCACGGCTTGGATTTAATTTATGGTAGAAGTTAAATATTCACGGGAAAAATTAAATAGGAAAAGTCATTTATGTTTTCAAAATAGTACTCTATATTTTGGAGTAAAGGCCAATTGTCTTTATAAAAACTGAGAACATCGGGATCAATTATTGAGAACACATCTCCAAATAGGTGCATTTAAAACACGTCCCTTGAGTCTCTCTAAATTCTGTAAATTTTATCATTTAGCTCCCTATACTGTGGCCCAGAACAATACTAGGTGGAGGTCTCATCGCCAAACCCCGATGTTCATCATTATGTGGACCATATTTGCAAAATATGCTCAGATTTTCTTTGGCTTATTTTGACCTCACTGCACGACAAACAGACAAGGGAAAATGAAAACAACACAGTTCCCATGACATCAGTATGTGGCATCCTGAGGACTGCTGACTGCCTCCAAGCTTGCTCCCATTTTACAAAATGGAAATCTTGTTTCCAATACTATTAAAAATCACACTATATACTACACAAATCTTTTACCAAGCTTTTCCTGAGAATCTGTGTCACCTCTAATCAAACTGTCATAGCCTACCTCATTGGTAATAATAGCTCTAATAATAAATATCCATCAATGTATCAAATTTAAACACATCCACACCTTGGTCTCCAAATAATCGCTTCAAACAGATGTAATCACTTCCCAATACCACCTTTACAACACCAGAATTGCTGTTAACTAGTAGAATGAAATATTTCGGATTGGATCAGAACTGTGGCCACAGCCAGCACTAATAAACACAGGAAAACTAAGAGACAGAATTACTTTAACATACACCTTTATCAAACAAAAGAAAAATCAAACAATCACCAACCTCTCCTGTCATTATAGGAAGGCCTCCAGGAAGAATTGAAGCCGCGTCCTCTGTATCCTCCTCCTCCTCCTCCTCCTCTGCGGTCTCGGTCAAACCCTCCCCTCCATCCTCCTCGGCGATCTCCACCTCGCCATTCACGGTCTGAAAAACAGTAAAACAAATTGAACATCAGATATGGTGTCCATGTGCAACAGTGCACAAGGTGGAAAAACAGTAACACAACAACTCCCAAGTACACAATGACAGGATGTTTGTTTGACCATAACAAACTAGTTTCAGATATCAGGAAACCTGTTCAACAATTTTTGCCAGTCTATTAGAAAAAATAGAGGCACAGATTTCTCTATGTCCCATCAGCTTTTGCAGTATCTGTCCTGCTTCCAATGGGCACAAGGCCGAGAAACAGTTGGGAACAGCAAGATACTACACTTTGATCTCAGCCAAAAGGCAAAGAAGCAATATTGCTGAAAATGAGCACAGCATTTTTTATTGTATAAGTAATACTCTTGATCTAGTTAGTGCAGGATTTGATTTTTATTTTTTTTAAAGACTTCTTCCTGGACCTAAGGAAAGGATGTTGCTATGTACAAAAAAAGTTTTAAGTACACATGCTAAGGCTGTGAAGCTCTTTTACTACAGACAATATCATCAGACATCGTACCATGAAATCTGTTGTCACGCCTAAAGCGCTTTTCTGGAGGAGGGAGAGCATCCCTTCCCTCCTTCCTGTACTTTTCGATGAGTTTGTCTCGAGCTTCCTTGTCTGGCTCCTCTTCAGTGAACTCTACAGACAGAAACAGCTGACTGTCCTCCTCAGGGAGCGTGAAGTTGGCTAGAAAAGAAATCACGGTGAAATCAATGCACTTACTCCACATGGCCAGATATACCACAGCACAAACCAAAAGAATGTAGCAATTAAATCACTGAAGTAGTATTACGTTATTACTTATTGTACAACCTTTAATGAGGATTACTGAATGACATAATTTCTTTAATTTGTACTGCTCAATATCAAGTATAAATACAAATTATTTCATGGAGATAAATCCATGTTAATTCCGTATGGAAAATAATCGTTAATGGTATTTTTATTGAACACTCAATGAACTTACTATGATAGAATGTTAAATGTATTACATGTGAGAGGATGAATCTTAACTCTGTATGGATTTCTGCTCAATGATCAAGGTGGACAATACAGCAACAAAATGGGGGAAGGATAACATTTCATCACTAGAAAATGAAAAAAAGAAAAATAAACAAAACAGAACTGAATAAAAGAGAAGAAACAGAACATCTGAAGACAGTACAGAGACAGAGGTAACAGGCTGGCTTGGGATGCACTGACAATACAGGCTAGCCCACTCCAACGTTGCCCCTTACCAAAATGGCAGAAATTGAGAGAGAGAACACATGGAGTACGCTAGCTGCTCTTGGCAATGGGATTTCCAATACAGTCATTGTATTTCCATCTCGGTTATCAATGAAAGAAGAACATCTGGCATTATCTGCTTATATTTTAAGTTTTATCTCTTTCTATTTGCAGGTACCTGCCTGTTGATTTCCAAGTTTTAGCTGGAGTTAAAAAGTTATATCAGTGCCGTAGATTCCATCCATCTGGGCATCAATTACCTTTCATCTCAAGTACTGCGCTTTCAGGAATATCCTTTCCTTCCTCATCCGTTCTTTCCTTCACTCGTTTTTTGAACTCTTCATCAGTTGGCAAGACCACTACCGCCTTGCGTTGAAAACCTTCAAAAGGCTGCATTTTACGTCTCCGGGCAGATGCATACACATTTGTCTAGTGTGGCAATAGAATATAAAAAATATTCATGAGTTGTTCCAGTCGTCTCCTGGTTCAGATGTTCTCCGTTGTACTGAAGAATCCTCTTTTTTTTTCTCTCCTCACCTTCTCAATCTCTCATCCCATTACCCTCCACCATTCCTCAACCCCCTTAAATCCAATTCCATGACGAGCTCCATTGGTTGATCTGCAAATACTTCAAGACAAGGTTGCATTATTTGGGATTCAGATTCAGCTACTAGCCCACCCTAAAATTCAGTGCCACAATGAGTAAACTGTGAGGGGGTTCGCCAACTTGGAAGAAAGAATACTTACCATCTCTTACTGGGGGGGGAAAAACATTGGTATTACAAATGCAAGAACAAAATCAATGCAATAACCTACCTTGAGAGCCCATACAACAAGGCTTTTGGACTACAGACACCATTCCATGACTTAACTTTCTATTGTGGCATGTACAAAAAAATCTCTCAACAGATGCATTTCTTAATCAGATGCAAAATTATAAGGGCTAATCAGTAAGTATGACATGTTGAACAATAATCCCAGGGTAAAAACATAAGATATAGTAATTACATGAGTCATGTCTCAACAAGAAAGGCACTGAAGCAGTCACAGTACAAATCAAGGCTCTCCATAGTATTCAAGTGCAACTACTACATTCCATAGTCGTCCAAGCATTCTTGTGCACCTCTATGCCACATATGGCTCTTTCTTACTGTGCTCTATCAAATCTTTCTCGCGTCAATCGCCACATGGACCTTCATCACTTACTTACGGTAACAAAGGTACTCACCCAACAGCAGAAATGTACCAAGTCCATCATGATCAAACACATACAAAAAACACAAAACAGCCACAAACTATAGCAAATGCAGAAGTTTCAAGAGTCCCCATGTCAAGAAAAGTGCATAATTAACCAAGTCCTCATCTTAACGCATAGAAGTAAATTAGACGTACCCCGTACCAGGATTTAAAAAAAAATTCCATTCTGATACAGCTTACAAATCACAAATAATAGTGGACCTCTAAAAACCACAAGGTAAAATGTTCAAACAGAACAATTAATAAAATATTTTAGTTAGTCCAGTAAAAGATTTTTAAAATCCAAATTATCCGTCATCTGACAACTACACCTACACAAATAAAGCTGAAACGTTTCCATATCTGCTCCAATAAACAGAATAGAATACCAGACTTCATATCATTATCAGGAACTACATTTCTCCACACACCATGTGTAATTTTTCTTCTAAGGATGTACATACACAGAGGAGTTTGAAACAGTTCCTACAAGCATCATGTTCAAGATTTACATGCTGTGCTTACAAGGGATTTTCAGTTGTAATAATATGCCACAGAATTACACTCTGTGCCTTAAAGCCAATCTAAAGAATGTCTTTAAATGCTTTTGTAACCATGTGCACGGCTCCCATTAGGAAACAGCATTGTCTTCCTCAACCATCAGCTAATCAAGCAAAAACCTACAACTTCCATTTTCATACATTTATACAGGTTTTTTTCTTCCTATGTATCTCTGCTACACTTCAATCAATCTTGAGGGTGACATTAGCATGGGACTGGGTCTCCCAGTAACAAATATTCTTTGGATTAGGTAGCCCAATTTTCCTAACAAATGCAAAAAGGCTCCTGGTCTACATTTTTTTACAAGGGACACAACTCTTTAAGTGTGTAGTGCTTGACAATGGTTGTAAAAAAACAACTAACCAGTATATGTAGTGTAGAAAGCAGAAAGAGCTGAGGAACCTATACCACCATTCTGCTGTGTCATGCTTATCCCAACCCTAAACACATTTGAGTACTTTTTGTCAGTCACATCTTCAAGAAATTGACTTATTAAAGAAACTTATTTGAAGATGGACCAAATGCTGAATTTTGATGCAATCATGTGCACTCATTAAAGTAAAAATTCTGCCAGCCCAGTCAGGGAATATCATTTACCACCATGGACCTACAGCCCGGAAAACTGTACCATCATTTATGTAATCCATCTTTGACAAGAGCTAAGAAACCCTTTTGCAATAGACCCCAAACATAAAGATATCTTTGTAAAAACTACTGAGGCAGCAATGAATTGACAAAAATGGCAATAATATATTGAGATGCAATTTCTAAAAGTGGCGCATACTACTTAGCAATTGTGACTAATGGAAATGTCATGTGCTCTATGAAATAAAAAATTATATTAATATACTATCTGAATCAAAGTTCACTCATACAACAAACGTGTAATAAAGAGCTTAAATGTAAAATGGTGCAGAGCGGCTATTAAAAGACAAGAAAACAGTGCCCCCCCCCCCTCCAACTTTGACCGTAAGTATATAAGTATATCACGGTGTCTCTCCAAAATTTACTAAAATTTGAAGTTAGCATGTACATGAGTGAAGCCCACAGGAATCCTCAAACGAAACAAGTACCAGCAGCTTCTTTCTAAATATAACTCCACTCTCTAAAAATACTGAAAAGGTTCAGAATCTCATTAAAATTAATGTTATAAAAGCGCTGTGACAGGAGCAAGCAAAACAAGACTTTAATGCTGCCAACCAAAGTAACCACATAAATTTTCCCATTGTGAATTTCATATTTCGGGAGATCTTGTACCAACCAGTCTCAAACATTGAAGTCCTTTCTACCTCACACAGCATAACAGTACACTGACTTTTGAGAAATAACCCTTGGCAGTCGTGATTAATAGGAATGCAATGATGTGCTCTTTGAAAAAATGAATTTTGTCAATCCACTTCACACGAAGCAACCTCAAACCTAGCCATTGAGTTTATGAGCACATCAAGAAAAAAACCTTTCTACTGTCTCCACTCAGATATTCAATTTTCCATTTCAATACCCGGAAAAGTCTGTCTCAAGTTAGGGAGAGTAGGTCAAAGGGTTCGTCTCATTTCCTACCGCCTACACTGTCACCACACTTAATGCGCCTTATATGTCCAAAACCAACATGCATAAAATCATTCTTTTCAGTTGTCAATTCCTCAGGATTCTAGTCTCAATCATAGCAATACCAATTTTCAACCAACTGAGAATCATTTATGAAATCTAATGCTACCAATTACACTTCCTTTCATGTAACTTATTTCAATCAATAAAAACATTCCATATAAATACAAAACTCTGCAAAAGTAGAAAACTTGCAGAAACTAATCTAAAATTGTAACTCATCAAACAATACAATCTCTGAAAAATATTCCAACTTGTCAAACCCAAACAGATTCAGAAAGCGGGCAAACTTTCTGCATTTGCACACACACACACACACACATACAAAACAGCCAAATACAGCACAACAAACATGTGACAGAAAATATAGATCACAAAGTCATGTACTTACCAGAGCAGAGTTTGCCACCACCTCAAGGAGATAAATAAATAATTCACTAGGACTCGAGGTAAGCAACTATAAGCATATAAGGATGCAGCATAATTATCTCACTATACCTGATCAATAATGTAGTTCCGCTTCTTGCGAGCAGCAATCTCAATGAAACGATTCAGACACTTTGTTGCCTTTTCAATCAAGACATCCCAGCGTCCAGAGTAGTTCTGTTTCCTAGGAAGGCCCATCACCTGAACACAAAAGTGCCAAAGATTAGAGGCCTTACAGGAGTGTTACAAACACAACAAAAAAAACACGAGAAGAGATCAAGATGACAGAGGTTTATTATATGATCTCCCAAAAGAAAGGGAAGAACTTGTAAGTTTTACCTGTCAGGTAGTCTAGTTGTATAGGCAAAACTTCATACTAAGAGAAAAAAACCTAAAATTACATTTGAGAAGCTATGGGGAAATATATTTGCTGAAGTCAAAGCTACAGTAGGAAAACCAGCTAACAAAATCAAAACTATGTGTTGTGAAAGTATACAACAATCTAAAAATACAAACCAAACATTTTAGCTTAACAGGAAAATCTAAACATTAAATCTATTGTAAAACTAATGACAGTAAAGTGGAGCATTTTACAATAAAATTGCTACACAAAGTCTGTAGTTTAACAATTTGTCCACTACGGTACACAAAGTTATACGGTTGACCAGCCTTTTCATCAAATTCCAGTTAAAAATAAAAAAAGTTCCTTCTTGCCTTCATCTTATCAATAATGTTGTTAGTTCCCAAGAGGTTGAACCTCTTCTCAGGGTTCTCCTCGATGTACTTGTTACACCAGTAGGTTTTTCCAGCTCCAGGCAGACCCACCATCATGATCACCTGGGGTACAAAGGAAAAATGTAATTTAAAGCTTAAAATCAAGCATATCAGTTACACAAAACACTGTTAGACCAACTCCATAAGAGACATAACAATCTTTGATTCATAAAGGGGCTCATCATTTAACCGTTTCGCACTTACAGCGCCAGTACCCCCGCTCATCCCTATAGCGCCCGCCACGGGGGTGTTTGTTTCGTTGCCGCGGGAGGCTTCTACTTTTACTATCATCAGAAGTTTCACTTAGCTATCTTTATAGAGGAAGAGTTTCGGTTTACTATGGTGTTTTTCTTGTTTCGCTAGCACAAAGAGTCACTTTTTGAGCGGGAACAAAAGTCGGAGGAGATTTTAGTTGTAAACACGCTATCATGTCTCTAGGATGCATGGGCGCAAAGCTGCCCGATATGAGTACGGCAGAAACAAAATAAAAACACCCAAAGAAAAGCCTTTTAGGTGCTTTCAAATTTCCACCAGAGGCTTCAATCTCTGTGACTGTGTTGTATTTTTTTTGCGTGGATTACCTCTTTGTCAGTGGCAGACACTTCGTGAGTTGAAGAAATGTAAACGAGATCTAGATCTAGACTCGAAATCCAAGACACACATCTCAGAAAGACCTCTCATATCATTTCATACTCTTCTATTCCACTTATAATTTTGTACTAGTAATTTAGCTCATTCATTTTCCTTTCAGAAAATACTATTTTCATCATTTTTGGTTGTGTTTGTGATTTTTATACAATATTTTTTAGTAAGGTACCCCTCCAATTTTCGTGGACTTATTGCCCTTGTCTTAAGGATGGGGGGCCACAGCTGACCAAGCCTGCTAAGTGCGATAGGGTTAATAAGTTTCAAGACTACACGTATTAAGCATCATATGTCAGATAAATAAAAATATACATAATACAAATTAAAGACTGTCATGATTGTCAACCACCCAACACGATTGGTGAATAAATCATTGTCAGAATCATTCATAACCTCATCAAGGGCTTCAACTGTTGAGAACTAACGTAAACACTGATATATCTCATATGCTATGACGAAGAGAAGTTGAGAAGATTAAACATGCAGTAGAATTACTTTCAAAGAAATAAACACACTGACAAAAAAACACGCTTGAAATGGAAGCCAAAAGGTCCATAACCTACACACTTAGGCCAGAGGAATTCTCGTACAAGGCAGTCAACAGGTTAATTGTTTTCGGTTAAAGCTGACTTCGCTGTAGTTCTCTTCAGTCATAATTTGTGCAATTTCAAGAAAAAAAATGAGTAATGATGATCAGTAACTTTGTGCTTATGAAACAAAGAGAGGGAAAAAACACCAGCAATTGAGCTTCTTTCTCCTCATTAGAGTAAACAGAAAAAAAACAGAAACAAACAACTACAAATGTCTTTTTTTAAATTTATCTAAATAATTGTACACAGTAACGCAACCCACCTCACAGTCCTCCTTAGAAGCTGGTGGAGTATGGCCTCTGACCCTCTCCTCTGCAGCCACCTCCTCCAAGAAAACATAACCTTCTTTCAAGGCAAAAAATGGCTCTTCCTGAAATTCAAATAAAGGCATATACGTGGTCAATAGTTCAACCAGACTGAAAGGGGCATACTAAATTAATTTTTGTCTAAAAATGAAATGACAGATAATTTTCAGAAATCTGCAAAACACAGCCTACCATTTTTCCTGTGTTACAGCATTTCAAATGTCTTATGAAATGCATTTCCATGATTACAGCCACTCAGGAATAATATCTTAGTGTTACTTTTTACGTGATCCAATGGATCCTTTGTTATTCTATTCGTTCGTGGAATTTTGGTATTAATAATTTCAGCGGGACTTGGTCTATAAAACAAAAGTTGTACTTATGAGAGGTTTTTAAAATACATTTTTGGGGGGTTGAAATGGAACAGGATTTTTCTCAGCTAAAATTTCTTCCACCCACAGACCTGTCAAAACTTTACGAATTGAAACGCAAGAATCCTTCAGCAGTTACTTTGTTTATATTGTTGGTAACATTCGCAGAAGTTCTCAATGATAGCTTGCCCAAAAGAAAAGGAATTAAGTAAAGTAACAAATATAGCAATGCCAATGAAAAATTAAATTTTCACTTTAGCCCTTTTTTATTTGGTACCTAAGAAAGAATTTTCAATTCTAAGAATTATGCTTCTTGAATTTTAAGAATCAGTTCATAAATAAAAAAAGTTATGGTTGTAAAGGTCGGCAAAATATGGATGACCCACATATAGGAAAATACTCCTAAAAAGTGGACCACGCAGTAGCAGATTCTGTAAGAAAATAGACGATATCTCGGTAACTAATCGGAGTGTTAGAGAGAAACTTGGCTACCCGATGTGTTTTTGGGTGTAGAAATTATTTCTGCAGTCAGATTTACTACCCATTTCGTAGTTATTTTGTTATAATTAAAATTTTGGTGTACATATTACGATTTTGCGAAAAGGGGTGTCGGGATGAGTCCATTTTATTTATAGCATCGTATCACAACATGGGATCTTTAAGAATATATGTCAGCAGCGTAACTAAATAATTGCAAAGCTTTTTATGATCACTTTAGACCATGCCAACTGTAAAAGAAAAGTTAATTCAATCTAGCATGCCGTACAATTAAAAATTATTTTTCCCCGTTAAGACGCGAACACCCCGAGACGAGATAACCTCGCCTCGGAATACCCCCATTGCGATGTTACAGAGGAATAGAGAGAAAAACAACCGGATGCGCGCGCCCGCCATTGCCCTATTTTAGGTGACCAATGAACGGGCCCGGAATAGTCATGCGGGGATTTGTAGGTCACATACATTTGCCGCGAGAGTGAGGGAAAAATGGCCGGTCTCCGTGCGAAGCTGCTTTGGATAGGGGGGTAGTCGTGCATTTATGATCGGGTCTAAACAACTACTTGACACAGAACGTTGATAGATAGATCTATTACCATTTCGGCGTTGAAATTCAAACTCCTTATAGTTTTCGGTGTACACGATATGAAAGTGTTCCCGACACCAAAAGTATAGGTTAATTTATGTGTACGAACTTCAACGTCCATATATCATTAGTTTGCCCTATTTTCTGATTGGTTGCCGAGTTTCATTCGGATTGTTTGACAAAGTTAGTCACCTACGCTTCGGCCGGGTCCGCAAAATCGCCCGCAAACGGGGACCAAATTTTCGCCACGTGGGAAAGCCCGATTGGCATTGCTAACAAATATGATACATCATTCAGGGCCCAAGACCCCAATCTGACCCTATGTAGCAGCCAAATGGGACAAGTTTTAAAAAATCTATCAGAATATCGTAATGGACCGGACCCCTTTGGTCGCTGAGAAATCACCCAAAATTGCATTTCAGTTTTGATGTTTCAGACACTGACTACATATTTCCTACATTTTAAAAAGTTTTCCAAAGAAGCTAAACTCACCAGAGAACCAAAGTTGCATTCAAACTCAGTGTTTTTGCTCATGAAATGAGGGAACAAGGCCTGCTCTCCCAACTTCTCTTTTTCAACTTCAAAGCATGTGCCCAGATCCGTTCCGTTCTTAGAGAATGAGATATTGACAGGATCACTGTCCAGGTCCTGAAATGGTGAACAGACTAAATTTATTGCATGCTGACCACAAGGTATTGTGAAAGCCGAAAACAATTTAACTGATTCTACTTATAACACAGCATTCTCCTGCATTCACTTCTTCAAAGCATCAAAACTAAGATTTTTTCTATTCTACATTAACAGAGGCCAATAACTTTCTGACAGAGATCACAGAATCCAAACCTACTACCCCAAATATATTAATCATTATCTCTCAACATGGTAACGCCATTAACATATTCAACCAACCATATTTTGTCTGCAACTAATGAACCTAAAACAACATCGAGAAACTTTTTAAAACCCCCCCACATGTTTTATCCAAAGATTCAAACAACTAGACACTAGATGAACTCACCACATATGCTGTGAGCACATCTCCAGGCCCAAATGCCTCACCATAGTCAACAAATTTGCACTCAGTGGAAGCTTTACCAGTACCGCCATATCCAAAGGACAAGGCCTCCTCACCTGCAGATAATATAAAAAAGCTATTTAAGAAGAAAAAATTTAAGCCTGGAAAAAATCAACATAAAGTACAACACAATTCCAAAACTTTCACAATTATATGTTAATACATTAAGAACTGAAGAAGAAAAAATCCATTTAGTAAATGGCATTGTAATGCATATCAACAAACAAACAAAACTGAGTGTGCTTAGTAGATATGATGGTGAAAAAAGGAGAGACATGAGACCATCACAAAACAAACTGCTGTCATAAATCTTACAAAAGAGTTTCCACGCCACTTTTCCCCTTTTATGCCCATGTGTTCCTTTAACTTCCACTGGCACATACCCTTGGTTCTACTAACCAAAAGATCCTTCTACTCCTCAGTGGGTAAAATAGCAAAGAAAAAATAAACCAGACAGGAAAGGGTGTCTCCAATTTTCACTGTAAAAATTCTTCCTGGACAAAATATTGCTCTTCATACCATGTGCAGAACTATGGTATTTGAAATTGGAGGACAGCAGGGAGTAAAAATTGTAGTTCTCTCATTGAAAAAAAGAATTTTTTTAAAAATGGTAGTAAGCACAAAGAAATTTAAAGCAGATTCTTAGGCAAATTGGATTTATATCTCAGCGACTTTTTAGGCAAAGACCACTGTAAACTTCATGAGGTATTCAAACTTACCCAAGTTCAGAGATGTTGAGTTGGCAGACCAACCAGCTCTTAGCACATGAGGATTGGGCTCATCTTTGGGCAAGTGGTCTACATTAAGGTTCTCCAGAATCTGACCGAAAAAATAAATAGAACATGTACTTACTATTCAATTCACCGCCTATAATCCCCAAAAAGGGGGCAATTTGACAAAGAACAGAGAATATCAAATCTTAATTCAATCAAAGTTGTAATCACTTCATCTAAATAAACACCCTGTCCTTCACAAACAAAATCTGATTGCATTTTAAAAAATACAGTAAATATGCAGTTTTACAATTTTACAGATATGCAGTTTTACAATTTTACAGGAGTAAAAAATCAATGTTTTTACTAATAAAAGAAAATTTTCTTTAAAGATGATTAGAAAGTTATCAAAATTGTATTCTAAAAAATATTGACTTCCGATGCGCTATCCTGTAAAATTGTAAAAACTACATATACTGTATTTTTTAAATTGATGGCAGAAATGCAAGAGCACCCAAATATTCTAAAATATTCAAATGCTAGCCATTTACAGACCAAAAAAATAATATTATCTCTTAGTATAAACTGCAGTTTACATTTGAGATACAAAGTTTTTTTATATTGATAATCCATTTCAAAACCGAAATCAAAAACAGAAAAACTAATCATTTACAAAACTTAAAAAGAAGATCGTTCTTGCTTCCAAAGTTTATGACTAGGTCCGACATTGTTCTCACCCATCCTTTTTACATTATTCAGCTCTCGCCATGTGAAGTATTATTTTCTTTGGATAAAACAAAACTGTGAAGTTATACCTAACAAATTTCAACTATTTTGTTGACATCTGAAGAGCGTATCTAATTTAGTCATGTTAAAACATGTCGAAACTCCTAACAATTAGCATTTCTCTCTTTTTTAAAATTATTTTGGCAGACAGTCCTTGTATATAAGCTTACCTTGACCTCATATGCCACTTTGCCTGAGGTGACACCATACATGGCACGTACTCCTGACCACATGTACCCAAACCCATCAACTGTGAGCGGGTGGGCTTTTCTATTGTTGTCATCAAAACGAAGGTTCAAGTCAGCATCATCTAGGAATGAAAAAACACATCGACCATTTCATAAACATAGAAATATGAAATGTCTGGTGTACAGGCTTTTAAAATTTGCAACAAAACCTATTGGTTTATGAAAGTACTTACTTTTTAGAATTGTCAAGCTTAATGCACACAAACACAAACAAAAACTACCTTTCTATCATATTAATTTTTTTAAAAAACATTTTAAAGTACTCCTAAAAAAATGGGGAAGCAGGTGAATGTAATCCATCCATTCTATTTAGAAATCAAGACATCAGCAAATCTTACTGACTTCACACAATCTACACATTTGAAAATGAGAAACAAAAAAATCCGACGCAGGACAGGCAGCACAACTTACAACGATCCAGAGCAAATTCAGTGATTTCTTCCCAAGCGGTATCGTCCATTTCCACTTTCCTCGGTGGAGGGGAGTACCTCCCGTGGCGCCTCTCTCTCGAGTGACTCCTCCTGTGTCTTTCCCTCGACCTGGAGCGCCTGTGGCGATCACGTGGAGACCGAGATCTCTTTCTTTTATGGCCAGTGTCACCTGATTTAAAAAACACAAGATTGTCAGCATCACTATATTCTATATAGATATAAAATGTCATGCTAGAGGAAGCAAATATATACAAATGAACAACACTAAGCTAAAATATGCCCAGGATGGGGAGCAAGAAAATATGACAGCATAAAATGGTAATGAATCTTGACAGGGACCATTCATTACAATAATCTTTAAGCCACAGGCATCGTTTTACCATGCAATCATGACTGACATGATGGACAACCCACTAGGTCTTGACAACAATCCTGAGTTTGAGTAAGAAAATGAAGAAGAAAAAGATAAAGATTTCCCCCAGGCTTTTGATTTTCTGATTCTACACGTGGGGTACATAGACAGTTAACCGTCAGCGGGTTAAAAAACAAAACTTTAACAACAGATCTAATGACAACTACCATACAAAATAACATAAAAATGGATAACTTTTCACGTTAATCACAACCATCACTTCTTATATACACACAAGGAACATTTAAGAGGGCAGCAATAATTTTTTTCTTGAAATGTCACTTTTTTTGTTTATTTAAAAATTTCAACGCCTTCATACATGGTCATTCCCACATCACCAAGAATACTCATATAGTCTTAAACATAAGTTAAGGATCACTTGCAAACACTCTGAGTGATCTTATTGGGTCGACCTGCACGAGGGTGTTCTTGGACTGATCCAGTGGCGTGATGGTGCTGCCTCAGGCGGACAACAATGATAGAGTGTGACACTGAAAGCCTTCTGGCAACTTCTCGGGCTCCAATTCCATCCTGCAGCCATGCCATAGCTCTGGCACGATCAGACTCTCAGCTTTTGTCTTGGTGGCATGTTGATGCCATACTGGATTTTGCGCAAACGGCGGCTTATATTACCACCAAAGTGAGCACAGTTCGAGACCGTACATCCGTTTATGACATGCACCAGAAATTTTAACTGAGGAATGCCCGTGGTGTCGCACACAAGTCAATAAAAAACAGCAAAGTTGGAGTTGGCTAAAATTCCCCAAGGATTTCCTTGCTGCGCGTGGTGGTTTTGGTCCTTTAGGAGGCTTTGCAGTACACATTGGTCACCCATTAACACTTTCCCTATCTCGAGCCGCAAGCGGCTCCCAACAGAAAATGCGTATCAACACATTCCCTACTGTGAGGGCTCGCGGACCTGGCCTCGCTGGACAGAGAGCCGCAAAAAACGGCTTGAGTGGCTCGCTATCTATTCCAATCTAGTAATGAAAAGACGTGAAATTCTCGACCGATCCACGTTTTCAAAATAATAGAATAGACTTCTTGTTAGCAGATACGAAAGAAAATATTGCACTGACAGATGATTTTTTGTAATTTCAACGCTTTTTTTGTCCCCTTCGAATTGTAAATATGAGGAAAAAAAGCGCTCCCCTGATTTCAGTATATGTCTCATACTTTCACTTCTATATTAGGTACACATACATAACTTTCAGCATTTCTTCGCATTACTTGAGGCTACCTACCTGGGAAGTTCGAATGATGATGCTATTGTTGTACTTTTTTAGTTATGACCTTTCAAAGTTGGAAAATTGTTGACTTCATATGACACCTTCGATATTGCATAATCACTTTTAGAAACCCCAAGGTAATATAATTGGAATAAATCTTCAATATTGTATCGCCATCTGATAGATTATTTTTTAACTTTCAGTTTGATGGGCCATATGATATGGTTTGTGTGAGTTTAATTGGATATTTTGACATTTTCCTTTGGCTGGGTAGAGGCGTAAAAATGGGTCAGGGAAAAGCCCTGGGCCAGTGGTGGATTTTGGCCTGGTAGGAAAAGAGTTAACACTTTCAGAGCAGAAATGTTGAATCATTCCTTGCTGTCTTTTTTTTTCGGATAAAAAAAAAAATCAGGACTGTCTGTCAAGGTGGTCCTTAACTTTTGTTGAAGTCTGTATAAACATAAAAATGCAGCGTTTACCTTCTTCATTATCATCTTGAGATGCCTCATCAATGGTCTGGAACTCATCCCCAAGGACCACTGCCTCCTCCTCCTCATCCCCATTTGCATCCTGTTGCTCAGCTGACTCTTCCTCCTCGGCTTCTGCAATAGCCTCTTCCTGGTCCTTCGCTTCTTCTTCCTCTTCCTCCTCTGCCCCCTGCTCTGCTTCCGCCTGTTCCTCCTCCTGCTGTTCTTCCTCTTGCTGTTCCTCTTCTGCTGCCTCATCAATCAGCTGAACATCCTGCACAAGGGTCAGAATACAAAACTAATTTTATAATGTTCACAAATACAAGCACAAACCAACCTGGTCTTACTATAAGCTGACAACTGAATACTTTGCTTACATAAAAGTTTCTATTTCAATTCATATGTAACACTTTGCAGTCACGCAGCCAGCAGTACAAAATACCCCATCTGGTCACCCAGCCAGGAAAGCGACTACCACACTTTTTATTAGACAATAAGCAATAATATAAAGCAGGCTTTACTGACCCCTTCATCATATTGCTCTTCGCCAGCTTCCTCCATTTGCTCTTCCTCTTGCTCCTCTTCTTCTTCACCAACTTCTTCCCTGACTTCAGCTGAAATGAAACAAAGTTTAGAAAATGTTACACAAGGCTAATAATACTCTATGTACAAACCATGACCTGGAGATAAATGAAATATCAAAACCGATTGTTGCTTGACTTAAAGAAGACTGAATTCTATTTCAATTCTTGTGTATTGTTTAGCCTGTAAATTATATTATATATTTTACTTATAGACCCGTCTCATGTTTAGACATTCCAAAGCACTTTTTTGGGGCCCCCCTCGACTTTCCTTTTTGCCTTCCCCCAGGCTTTATTTTACAGAGCATTCGGAGAAATAGAGTTCAAGTATATTTTCCTGAGCATTAGGAGAAATAGAGTTCAAGTATATTTTCCAGAGCATAAGGAGAAATAGAGCCGATTCCTACGTGTGTTCTGCAGCAAAAATTATGACAGTTCAGCCCACATGCCCTTAAACGTAGAAGTTGCATCTTTCTGATTGGCTGCTAATTTTAGTACTGTGATGTCATCACTTCCTGGGATAATCACATGGAACGACGTATTTTCGGTAACATTTCGGATGTCCTAAATCTAGATCTACCTCCCCCCCTCTCCTGCATTCTTCATCACTAATATACATTTTATGGGACATCATTACATGACTTCAAACACAGACGCGCTGCTGTCAATTCAGCAATCAGAACTTCCGAGAGCGAGGTGTAGATTAAGCATAATATACATAGACACTTCCATCTTCTGTGCCGTGCGGTTGGCTATACTTAAAGAAAGTGGCTATTCTCACCCGCCCGGAAGTTCTCGCAAAATCTACTCCTCCCCTCTTCTCTCTCTCTCTTTCTGAATACTGTCTATCGGTGTGGACGATCAAATTGACCAAAACAAAGTTAAAAAATGATGTTAAAACACAAAAGTAAATTAATTTGGTTGTCTACAAAGATGCTACGGCTATTTGACTTTTCGAATCGAGCCGAACTACGCGGGTCGCCATTTTGTTTTGTTCTCTCTCTCACTCTCTCTCTCCACTGCCCACAGACAAAATTGTACGCTTTTAGTAGGCTGCAAGTACAGTTGTAATGGAACGTTTGTTCACAGCACAGAATTCTACAATTTTTCTGTTATCACAGTGTAGAATTCTGTGGTTTAGGGTGAACGCAAAATTTGTTGGCCTACGGTGAACGCGCACCGGGTGAGAATAGCCAAAAGACTCGCCTGCACTATATAGAGGTGGCCATACTTAAATGTAGTCACGTGATCGGAGGGGTATCCTGGTCTAACGTCAAACAAGATGGGCGCCTTACCTAAAAATAGTTTGCGTATTTCTACGTTTAATCGCATGTGTTCAGCCCTCAAATCAATGCATCTGTGTGTGGGTGCATAAGTAGAAATTGACTAAAACAAGTTTAAAATTCCAGGCCTGTTGAATCTCCATTTGTGACACACTTGTACTTGTAACATCATTACACACACACCAAAAAAATGCAGCTTACACTTACACACACACACACACCAAAAAAAATGCAGCTTGTGAATCAAACAATAATACATCCAAACCCAAACAAATAACCTGTACCTGTAACATAACCTTTCTTCCCAAGCATAATCTATCTAAGCCACATTCTCCCCTGTCCCTCTGCCCCTGACTGTAAACTTGGTATTTTTTTACTTTCCCTCCCGTCTCACACTCAGCTACCAGTTGTCTATTTTCTACTAAATATTGATGCGCTGAACACGAATATCAACTTCATTTCCGTCGCAAATTAATGGTTTTTGAAATATTTGATTATTTTTAACCGAGATAGACATGCTTTGGACCAATCGGGGGGTTCCAGGGGGGCCTGCCCCACTGGGGTAAAAGAAAATATGGGGGGTTACAGGGGGGCCTGCCCCCCTATTTTTACACCCATAATTTGATATTTTACAGTTAGATTTGAAATTGTCTTGAAAATAATTGATTTGCGACAGTTTTAGTGGCTTTATGTGTGATCTGCAGCAAACAGTACAGCAGTTTGACCCCTGAAACAGTGCATCTGTGTGCGGGAGTGAAAGTAAAAATTTACCATAAACTTTAAAAAACTGTAACATATGAGTATGAGATTCTAGAAATCTAGAGTACTGTAGACTGTAGATATTTATTAATATTATTTATGCCATGCATGATTATATGACCCTCTTCTGTCTGATCCATCCCACCCAAAAAGTCTCAGCTCAGCTAATATCATTAGACATGGAATATTCTCTCCTTTATCAAGGTAACTAGAAATCTAGATCTAGGCCTATGGTAAGGAGAGGATAAAGTGTAAAAAATTAAATTAAAAAACGTCATGATCATCCCTCCACTGAGAGCAGAGAATAAGAATGTTCTCATACTCATAACTTACAGGAGGAGCATTGTGATAGTTATGCCCCTTTAAAAAGGAAGTGGGAAGCTGAAGCAGGCAGGCATTCAAAATTAGGTCAACAAAACCGCTTTCATAATTTTCACTTTGCAGCCACATAATTGTTGAGAATATCAACGCACTAAAGGCAAATCATGTAAAAGGCTCAAAGTGAAAGCTGAATCAATATAAGAACAGAATGAACTTGATGAATCATACTCTCCTTGCTGCTTGCAGTCGACACTATCTGCAAACAACACTCTATCCTACTGTGCAAGTAAAAGGAAGCCGATTCAGACAAACTCAAACTGTGTTGCCCGCTTTCTGCAAAACAGTTGACCTGAACTTCACTAACATTTCCCTCAGTTAACCAAAGATGACAACATTCATGCCCTTCTTGTATATTTTAAAATGTAAACATGGGATAAAATCGAAAGTAGGGCCTGCCGAGCAAAGCGGGATCAAAACAGAGCAACGCAGAAAAGAGGTGTTGCGTGGTGAAAGCTCACTAAAACTCACCCGGTTCACTGAGGGCTTCTTTGAGTCTTGCAACAAGGGCAGCCTTATTTCCTTTAGTATCCAAGCCCCTTGCTTTGAGCTCATCTCTGAGCTCGGCAACTTTAAGTTTTTCAGGATCGATGTCACTCATCTTGAAAACTACACTGTTTATTAACTAAAATAGGTAAAAGACTTCCCTTACACAAAACAGCTACGCGCAGCGATGGCGTCTGTGTAATGAATATTCAAAATGGCCGACCACAAAAGCACGCGGCTTAAAAACTCGAAAAGTCCAACTGGAAGCTACGAACCAATGCTTTTAATTTTAAAGTAAAGCGTTAAAAGTTTCTTCCCTTCATAGATCTAGAATCTAGATCTAGATAGTTCAATAACATTGTCCGAAGGCTTAGCTCTACACACACACAACAAACGCCAGTCATAATACAAAAGCGTTCATGCTAACATAGGCTAGTCATCGTTTGTTGAGCAGCGGTTAGGCCTAGGTAGTTAGTTAGCCTCCTAGGCTAGTCCTAGGGCTAGGTGCCGGCGCTTCGCCGTCGCACACAAAGGATCCTTGTACGATTCCCATGTGGGGAGAATTTTTATCGGGTAGCCCAGGCCTGTCTTTGGGCAGGGGCGAGTGTATCGACCCTCTCACTCTCAGTCCAGATTAACCCTGACAGGCAGGGTCGAAGCCCGCCTCCCTGCATGATCTAAATTGCATTTGATATAGGCCTATTATATGCATGCCGACCAAAACAACAACAACAAAAAGACCAGCATAATATAGGAATAGGAGTCAAGTTCACCCAGGACAGCGAGATGTTGCGAAAGACTTGATGATAGGCAGAGGGTTTATTATAATTATTTAAATTAGAACTTCTGTAATAGAAAACGACTGATATTGTCAGCATTGTGCGATGTAGATCATTCATCATTGGTTCAAACCTAGGTTCAAAATGCACGTTGCAGAAACAAACAAGAAAAAAGGGACAACATGGGCCTAGCATTCCTTGTCGAACTGCACGTCTTCTAAGTTAAACAAACAAATCTACATAATCCGCATCCTCATTATTATTTCTAAGGGTTCTTTCTCTAAGTCTAAGCCTATCCAGTCTCCACCAGTTCTCAAGCCAGCGGCTTTTGTAAAAAAAAAAAAAGATTAAAAAATAGATCTATATAAACATTTTTTTTTTTAAAGACAGAAAAAGATTATAACAATAGACAGCGTTGCTAGGTCTGATGATTGTTTCTTCTCACATAACAAAAGGTCTGCGTGTACTTTGCCAGTAATTTGACGCACATGACATAAGGCGAGGTGGCAAAAGCGAACTGTCATCGGACATGAATTTGCTCGACATCAGATTGATTTCGGGACGACACAATCATGATGACTGGGCTGTTTGGCTTCGGGGTTTTGTCATACATGTAGTTCCTGTTAACGATCTTAGCCTGTTTCGATTTTTTAACCTCTAATGTTCAATTTTATGTCACTTTGAATTAAAAAAAAATTCTATTTAGAATCTATCTAGATCGAGGCCGATTTCTTTAAGGTCGGTCCCTAAAATTCTGGTTCCACCTCGCATCCCGGTTAATCCACCAGCCCCGCTTACCGTCACGTTTTGCTTATGTTACTAGAAGGAGCGCCTCATATAAAGTGGCGTCCAAAAGAAACTTGAAAATATTATCACCCAATCATCGTGTTATAGGCTTGAACTAGATCTACCCACTCATGCAGCATACCAATTTAAAGCTGAATAAATTCTGCATCATCTGGAGATTGGTCACTCAAAATTGACCTTTAAAAATCAGGCTTGGCAAAATTGTGCGAAATCAGAGAAATGCACAAGTGTGTTCGAGCGTATATTGAAGCGCATAAATTTTGGTAAAATGGACATGTATTGAATATCAAATGAAAAGAGAATATTATTGTCTCTGCAATGAACAGCAGAGCAGTAACAAATACCACACAAAACCTGGACATAACATAACATATGCTCATGAGTATTAATTTTGTTTTTGTTTAGGCTAGGAGCTATGAAAGTGGTTTCGTGTCGAGCACGAAACTTTTTTTGTACTTGACTGTGTTAGTTAAGATTATGGACATAGATCTAGTCATCTGTCAGTGAGGAACAGAAGCCACGAAACTGCCATGGAGTTGGGTGGTCTGGGGTGAAATGAACAAAACAGTTTTAATTAGGAGAATCACCAAATGGCTTGGTTTAGTGGACAACAACGCGCAAGTGATGGAACGTCATGTCTTACCCTTGTCATGGTGTCATTTTAGTAGACATCTTCATGCACAGCAAAGCACTTTCTCACGGAACCAATGCCACTTGATAATTCTTGGAAAACCAAAATCAAATCAACATTGGCGTGGTCACCAAGTAACCCCGAATGAATCTTATGAGTGTGCGAAGAGTGAAGTACATACCATGAAACAGTGGCTGAAGAAAAGCGAATTTGTTCCCAGTTAAGACTCTTTGTTTACAAATCTCTGTGACAATTTGGATGAAATGACGGATAATTATGTCCAAAATGTAAAAGGACGATGCCCAAAGGGTTCATGCACTACACAAAACTAATGGTTCCTAAGCTAAATAACAATGAGCACATTAAATGTGAAGTTCAAGTTTTGCGTAATATTTGTGATTGCTGTTTTTCGTTTTGTTTGAAACTATCGTGATAAAAATATCAAACTAGAATAGTGTTTATTACAATACAATATTCTCCATTCATTGGATATATGTAATGTATGTCAATGCTATCAACATTGATGTGAACTTTAAGTTTGATACCTGGCATTGTAAAATTCTTGTGAGCTCTTCAGTTTCTTAACCTAGGTTGAATTTTCATTTTCATTTTTTTTACACTTTTGAAAATACATGTATATGTTAATGTTCCTTGATGTGAGTAGTGAGTAAAAGAATAAAGATTGAAGTGAATATTTTTTTTCCCAAAATATAAAATATTAATGCAATCTTCAGTTTGCCGCCCAATTATAAATCGTTAAAACGCATAGAGCAATCTTAAATGCGCAATTATACGATTGCTAAAACGCGCAGCGCAGTCTCGCGGAAAATAATAACTTGCATAGTTTATGTCCATTTGAATAAACATACTATATCAAAATGATGTGTGAAAACTTGTTATTTTTCTCTCAGTTTGAATAATGATACCCCCCCCCCCCCAAAAATAAATAAATAAAAAAAACCACCAAAAAAAAACAAAACAAAAAACAACAACAAAAATAACCCAACCACCCCCCAACCCCCACAAAAAACAACAATAGCAAAACAAAAACAACAACAACAACAACAACAACAACAACAACAAACAAACACACCCCCTCTTCCCCAGTCCTAATGACTTGTGATGATTCGCACAGTTTAAGTCTAGATTTTTAAAAAAGAAAACCCCCCCAACAAAATCAACATGATGTGTATTGATCTGCAAAGTAAATGTCTGCGTGAATTCTTTCTTTAAGTCAAAATAATGTGTAATAATGTGCACCGTTTATGTCTATACATGTATTTGAATCAAGCAAAATCAGAATGATGCGTAATAATTAGCGCAGTTGATCTCCGTTTGATTCTAAAGAGTCAAAACGATATAAAAATATACTACAATATTGCACCGGTAGCCGAATAGATAGCGATTACGTCCTATGGGCAGGGGTGGTTGGTGTTTGGTTTACTTTTTCAGATCCAACATACCGAACAACCATTGTTATCCCTTCATATTCGACTACCTGCATATTATGGTGAGAGAAATAGTTTAAGGAACAGGGGATGGCGTATGGGGG